GATTGAGTACTTCTGTTTAAGAATGACATTTGTGTGCTTTTTCTACCACTGTTTGTGTTACATTTACAGTATGATCAGATTATCTTTAATAATAATCTTTATAACAGTTACTTTGTGGGAATTGTAGTAATCGGGGTCTGGACCAATGTAATTACTGTATTTTTCATTTAGTGCAGGTGTGAATCTTTGAAGAGAGGCTTGTGACACATTGTGTGGTCTTTGGTGTCGTAATCATTTTGTCCCCCCTTAGTGGTGTTTATGGGTTTATTTATGTTTAGTTAACAGAGGTGGACAGCCTCATTTTCTTCGAGGTATTTGACTAAAAGATTGGTCCTTCTGTCACTCTTTTTCTGTTTAATTAACTTGACCATGCCAGCGCAGAGCTGGACATGGGCCATTCCAATGCCGCACTGGACAACAACTGCTAGCCAGGGTTTCTACGGAATGCCACTCTGGGCAATACCATGAGAGAGGGGCTGTCTACACTCTCTTGTGCCCAGTCACCCAGCGTGCCATTGGCTGCCTGTAGTGCCATTCAAACAGTGGGTCCACCCATGCACTGCGGGATCTTTCCAGAAGCACAAAAGTGGGCTTGTGTTGGCACTAGAGGGCAGCCAGCCCATGTGCATCTCAATCTCTGGGCTGCCTTGGACAGAAAGGCCATACTGTCAGCCAGTCCACCCTTTAGACTTCGGTGCCCGTGACCACTGTTCATCAGGAGTCAGGTGTTTTACCTTGGCCTTGAACCACCAGGGAAATCAGAACCCGTCTGGTTAAGTTAAGATCTCCCAGTGCTGCCACTCCATGTCCCCACTGACCAAAAGTGAGTTTTAGGGTTTGAACAAAAAGCCCTGTGAAGAGTCAGACAGAGAGATGAGCCAAATGAAATGTGTGGTAGGCTGGAATTTTTAAAGGTTTCCCAGGAAATGCCTTCCCAGTGCCAGGCTGTTTATGCCAAAAAGTGTGCCCCCTGTGTTTCTTCTTGGAATTAATAGCCTGTAAGTTCAGTATTTAGAATGTTAATGCTGGGCCTTGGGGAGTGGGGGTAATCTACATCGCCCTACTTGAGTATTAACGTACAATTACTCACTTGGTGGGGCTGTTTATGGATGCTGCCACATGCTGGTTCAAGATTTCAAAATTTCCCAGCAGCAGCTGGGATGGATGGAGATTTTCTGCTATGCCTGAGCGTGATGCCTGGTGCCCCCACTGTCCTGCGCGCCGCCATTGACCGAATGTTGACATTATAATCCAGCCCTTCAAGGGGAGTCGATGGAATGTCCCCCAAGATGGGGGGGCAGTGGGGCCCTGCACTGCTTTCATTGGTCTGGACACCCCTGCACTGCACCACGAAGGCTCACTTGCCCTCAGCCACCTTGTAAAAATCTTAGTTTTTATTACAGTTTGTTTTGGTACATGAGATAATGAGCATCGTTAAATGCGTCGTTACTGCCCTAAAGGCTGAGAATGCTTATCTGATGAGGCCATGGAGAAGATTAAGTTCTGTGAATGTGCATGTGGCTCAGCACTTAGTCAGGCACCAGGCATCAGTTTTTGTAAAATTTCAGAGAAACCCTCAGGTTCCGAAACCTGTCCTGCTTGCCTTTGCTAACTTTACTGACCACAGCGCTGTTTCTCACATACCGAATAATCTACTGCCACCTTGGGATTACCAGCAGCAGCGCCACGCTGTGTAGGTGTGAAGTCAGAAGGCTCAGATTTTTCTTGCACACGCAGTTTGGTGTAGGTTTTCTCTTCCCTTACACCCCCCACCCTCACCCCTACCCCTCAGGTGGCTGGTGTTGCTTACAGATCTGCAAGTTTCAGGGATTTAGCAACAGTCTTCTGGGTGAAGCCAAATGACAGACAGCAGACACCCAGATAGTTATGTAACAAGTCACTGGATGGTTCAGAGCTCATGTGAGCTCCGCCTCTGGGCCGTCTGTGAGTCAGGGGATTTGGTTGGCGGCACGGACTTGCCCCATGTACTGTAGCTCTGCTATATTCCTGTGTTTTATCATCAGGGGATTTGGTTGGTGGCACGGAATTGCCCCATGTAGCTCTGCTATATTCCTGTGTTTTATCATCAGGGGATTTGGTTGGTGGCACGGAATTGCCCCATGTAGCTCTGCTATATTCCTGTGTTTTATCATGACGGCCTCTGAGCTGCTCCTTTCTTAAATGTATGAGGAGTGTGTGGCTTGTGCTGTTGCGGTGAGTTTGTGCCTCACTGAAAATACCTCTGAGGTGCAATATGAAAATACATCCATCTCCTCACATGCTGCTTCACGTAAGCTATGCTGTGCCATTTACTTACACATTTGACAGTATGTAAATCTGTAGTCTGTTTTCCAACTCCTTTGTTGTTTCCTCCATTGCCTTATATGATTTATACAGGGTATTAGGCCTGCTTGTACAGTGGGTGGGCTGTGTGTAAAGTACTGAATGCTTTGAGCCATTTAGGCGTGATACTACTGTAGCTAGGGATGTAAATCGCAGCTTTCCTCGCGATACGATACAAATCGATGCATTGTTACACCCTAATACTAGCCTGTATGTTTGATATGGGGTCAGTGCAAGTGTCTGCATGTATAGAAATGTCTGCTGTCAAAGTTTTACAGTGAGATCTAACTAACATTTATTAATATGTAATAATAACAGTAGTGGAAACACTTGTTACTAGAACAGAAGTGTTTTGCATATCATATAAATCATCTTAAGCTCCTTTCTAAGGGTACAACAGTAGAGCCTCTCTTTGGAATTGATCCAGCAATCTTTTGGTCTCAGCTTCTGAACCACCGCTGTACTTCGTGGGGTGTGTGTGCAATCGTAGGTTTTTATGCTCTGTTAAAACAACTCATGAATAATTCATTAGATGCTACAATTTACTTGGTTGATATGTAGGCCTTTTCCATTTAGGGTTGTTTTATGGCTCCTGTCTGGACCCCACGCGGACACAGCATCCCAGGGTTTGTCACGGCAGGCCCGTGGGCCGGGTCGTCGCTCCTCCTCATCCTCACGGTCAAAGTCCGTCTCGCTAATCAAGTCAGCCGAGTGAAGCTTGTGTTAGAGTGTCATGGGAAAATGGGATCAAAACACTGTGTGACTAAGTCACGCATGAAGGTTTTAATGGATTTCCTGCAAAATACTGGGATTATGGATTAATTACTGTGGGATTTTGTGCCGAACCTCCTTTCTGGCAAAACAACACAAAACGTGAACGTGAAAAGCAGCGCTTCCTTTACTATGTGTGAACCCGCCATATGCTTTTCCAAGTTTTCCTTCTCCTTTTATGTGCTTTTATTTAGTTTTAAATATGATGGCGCACTTTTGGTTGGTCATGCACTCAGGAAGCCGTCTCCTCTGCGTTTGAGGGTTGCGGCACACATCTGCAGTGAATTTCCCTGTGAAACACAGCACTCCACATGCTGCCAGGCCGGTTAACTTCCCACTTGACCACATTTCCCTCTGTCTAAAGCTGGATCGTCCGGGATCAGAAAGGGGCTGCAGAAGGGAGTAACAGACACAGCTTTGTTGTCAAAGCGCAGTGAAGCCTGTGGAATCGGACGTCGCTAAAGCGATTGTGCAGCTGTGTTACCGGGGCAGGCTGAGAGGAAACCACGAACAGTGGGGCTTTAAATCTCCCAGTCTGCCTCGGAAAATAGATCACCTTACCCAGGGGGTCGTTAGCCCCCCCCACCCCCATGCCCCCTTTATCGTTCACCTAAGACGTTTGGAGATTTCATTGTAAAACATGGTAAATAATTTCAGACTATTTTAGGATCACATTTATGTCCTGTGTCTCTTTTTTTTTTTTTTTTATTCTCCTTCCTGCTGAAATTTTCTCTTCTCCTCCTGCTTGCTGTATTTTCTCTAAGTATCAGGATACACATTTCTGGTCTTGAAGCCCAGCTGTGCAGCTTGGGGTCAGCCCATGTTTGAGTGCAAGTGGCTGTTTGGCAGGGAGGTCTGTTTGGGACAGGAACCCCCCCCCCCCCCCCGCATACTGTATCACCCTGTCCATGTGTTGTGGAGTGTGAAATCAGCGTGCAGGAAACGCGTTTAATACTCTGGAGATCAAAGCGGGGTCCGACCTGAGTCAGGCACTGCCTGCTGCTCATGCTGAACCTCCTGGGCCAGACCTGGGGCCAGCGACAAACCCATCTTAGTCCTGGACCCTTAGTGGGCCCTTAAATGAACACATTTGGGTTTTTCATTGTGTCTTTTGAAAATAAGGTAGCACAACATAAAATTGAGCAGAATTTATTGAGGAAAAATAACAGTGAACGATTCCATTAAAACTTTTGAAACAGTCATGTCAGAGAGGCTGTACTAGGCCGTACTCGAGCTTAATTTACACACCAGTTTCCCAATTCCCCCTTAGAAGCCCCCTATGTGTATATGTCGCTTGTCTGAGCACCCCCTTCCAGAGCCCCGCCAGCAGCAGCAAGTGTTTGTGGAGAGAGGGAGGGGCATCAGGGCAGGGTAGGGGACGGCCAGGGGCGGGCCCAGCTTTAGGAGGCTTGCTGCAGTGTCTAGGGCAGAGCAAGCGCTGAGCCCTGGGGAGGACGGAGCCAGGTTAAGCAGGCAGAGCTGAGCATGGTTCAGGAAGAGGCAGTCCACCTCAGCGCCGGGGCCCAGCCTGCGCAACATGGTGAGGACTGGAAACTTTAGGGTTGAGGTTGCGTGTCAGTTTTTTTACTTGTGTAAAAATCCATTTTACAACCTTGTTTGTTAGCAGTTGGTGCTGGTGGCTTGGCCTACCTGGGGGAGGGGTTGATTGGATGAGGGGTGTGGGAGGGGTGGGGGGCAGTGAAGAAGAGAAGTTTACTTTGACACAGAGGTGCTGTTAACTTTTGTTAATCCTGGAAGCTGTGAGGCAGCAGCTCTTCTCCGCGACCATGGTGTGGAGGAGCATGGAGGTCAAAAGCTGCATTGCTGCCATGCACTCAGAGTGGCTGGACGCAGGACATGCTGCAGCACGTGCGCATCAGAACGACGGCCCGCTGGCCGCGGCGATGGGCTCCCCACCCTTTGGCTAGGGAGCCATCTGGATGGAATGGCCCAAAGCTTCCTTCAGGCAATTGTGCGTGTCAGAGGGGGGGTGAGTAGATGGATTGGTGACTGGTGCTCAGTTAGGGGTTAGCATTGGCGGCTTTTGTCATGCTGAGGGGCTAGCGTTAGCAGCTAGCGTGGCACTGGGTGGACAGGGTTGTGGGCTACTTCCCCACTGGGAGGACTGGGTGAGTTGTAGGTGGGGGAGGATTGGATTGCAGCTTTGGCTACCACTCCTGTATGCCGGCTGATAGTGTGAGGTCCCCGTCAGGAGTCGCGGGAAAGCCTGAGTCACACAGGTGCTTTTTTTTTTTTTTTTTTTTTGCCAGCTCTTCTTCAAAACTTCGATGCAGGTAAAAACTCTCATTTCAGCACATTTGAGAACTGCAGCAGCATGTGAGCCTGCGTGATGTTGTGCGGCTCACGGCCGCGATTTGATGGGCTTGTAGCCGTGCCAGGACGAAAGATGAGTAGGATAGAAATGACTCATTCCTTCAGCGACACAGAGACTCAGAATCCCCCTCTGGGGTTAGTTATGGATTTGATCTCTCTAAGGTAATCAGGAACAAATGTGCAAATAAACTGGAAAACCTTGTCTGTTTCAAAGTGCTCTATGACTCATGATGTGAAAGTCTTTAAATAGATCCCCCTTGTTCACAGTAGCCACCCCCCCCCCCCATCCCTATTTGGCTTTGGCCCCACAGTTAACGTGAGGTTCCATGCATTCAGCCATACCACTGTGATGTTTGGGTTTTTTGACCCCCAACTCCCCAATGTTTTTGTTAACCGAGGGTAATATAGACTTTTCAGCAGCCATTTTAGCCTTGTGCTGTGTTTTTTTTGCTTGTGGAGTGTGATTTGTTGATCTGCTAAAGCATTGCGCTCCGAGTAAGAGTGTCAGCCATGCAGTCGCAGATGTAACCCAACGCCGGATCACAGCCAGGAATCCCCGGGGGCCAACTTCTCAGAGTATCGTAATAGCTAGTACCTCAGAGGGCACCTTTCAGAACCAATGCAGACATCTCGGCCAAAGCGTCCATTTCACCAGGGCTGCAGTGGCAGCCGGCAGAGCTTTCGTGAAGGCTTGCTCCTTACAGGCCCGGTTCTGTTTGTTTTGTCAACGTGAGGAATATACCAAAGCTGGAAGCTGCACAGAGAACCTGATTTACATGTGAACGCACACTGTAAAATGGGCACCTACAAGGAGAGAGAGTGTGTTGTTCAGGGGCTCGGCTCTCATGTATGGGACCTAAGAGTGGGCTGTGTAATTACGTCCAGTTGTGTGATCGTGTCCGGTGGTTGTGCAGTTACCTTCAGCTGGGGATTCTGTGCCAAGGAGTGAATTATTTACATGCTCCCTGATGCTGGGTTTTAACTTTGTACAGTTGCTACAAGAAGAGACGCAAGAAATGAATACTCAGGGATTAAATGGTGGAATTACTCCCTGCCTTCTTCCTTAATGCAAGCTGTTTTGGTTCCTTGTGCGACTGAAATGTTAGCTTCGGTGTAATTTAAGCTTTCTGCACCTGTGCTACTGGCCTTTCTTGTCTTATTGTGATAGTGTTGAAATGATGTACAGTGTACAGTGCTGTACTGATGACCATGAAGGTGCAGCTGAAATATGGATTGATCACAAGTTTGTAGTTGCTTGTTTAGAGTTGGCCGATACCAAGATAGTTATGCTCTGTGCCGGAGAATATGGCTAGTAGTGGTTTCTGCTAACCGGTACAGCCAGCTAGTCTGAAAGTAAAAGGTGTACAGTTTTTGTGAGGAACAACAGCACACCCACAACTGAAAATAACAGAGGACAAACCTGTTTCTTTTTTTGCTGTTTTATAAAGAGTGTTCAGAGGAGTGTGACTGGCTGAGCAATATGGGTGAGAGGATGCTGAGGGTGTGATGTAGAGCACCAGGTACCGCTTGTGTGAGGCCAATAAACAGAACTGAACCCTTTGTTTATTCTGCTGTTTTGAAATTATTGCTTTTCATCAGTGCTACTGTCCACCCATTGATCCATCCATCCATTTTCTGTGACCTCTTATCCTATTCAGGGTTGCGGGGGGTCCAGAACCTATCCTGGAAGCTATGGGTGTATGGCAGGGAATAACCCAAGACAGAGCGCCAACCCATCACAGGTCACACGGTGCTACTAAATTATAAATATATGGAATAATAATTCTTTTTGAAACCGTACTGTTGGTTACGAAAAGACAAAACCTTAAAGAGCTTTGGCACAGAGTTCAGAGTTCTGGGGTACAGTGAAATCACCTTAGGCCAGAACAGCTCATAAATGTGAGCCGTGTCCAACCAGAGACATGTGGCTTTGGGGGCGACGGGGGGGGGGGGGCTGCTGTGACATTGGGGAGACAGTGATGAATCGGCTGTGTCCAGAGACTCTTGTAGGACCTGCAGCCCTGCCTAGTTCAACTTCATCCTCTTAAGGGCAAAACCCATGGAAGAAAAGGCACACAGAAAATATAACAATAGTGAGGTGGCATTTGGATTGGTACAGCTGGCATTTGGATTAATGCTCAGCACATCTGCTTGCTAACTTTGTAAAATACAGCAATGTGGCTGATTCTCTTCAGATGATTTTTCTCTCATCATGTACTGGAACAGTAGGGGGGTTATGGTTTCTCTGAGACCTCCTTGTGGCTTCAAGGTTCATGGTCATGCTTGTCTTTGCCATCAAGGCACAGGTATCAGGTGAGTCAAGTCTCCTGTCAGGGCAGTGCTGTCCAGGCAGGTCTGGAAACTGCAAAAAGGAGCCAGCCCCTCATATCGGGCTCTAAAGCGGTTACTGTGGAACTTTCCACAGGGGCTGGTTACAGGGCATGGCTTAATATTCCAGAAGAGGACCCATCTGCTGCGTGATAAGAAAGTCAGATGCTGGTAAAATAATGGCCTGGAACTGTGGTCTTTTCCAAAGCTTGGAGATGGTAATGTTTTCCACATACATGCAAACCCTAGTGTACTACTGAGCCCAATGTTTGGTGAAAAATAGTTACTGGAGAGGTTAAGTTTTGAAACTCATGAAGAGTGGGGTCATTGTGTCCCCAGATTAACTCCATTGTAATACCTCAAGTAACTAATAGGAAATGGGTGGTGTAAGTTTGTTCCCTCCCACCTGGCTGGTTTCAAAAATAGTTTTCCCAATAAAAATGTTAAATACTTGACTTCTAGTGTGTTAGTGAAAACTTTCTGTTGTGACTGTTTATGTGCAGTTTTCCTGTGGTGGGTTACTGATAAAATCTTTAGTTACTCCTAAGGTGGGGCTGGGAAATTCTGTTTGGTGTTCTGGTCTTGGAAGTTGCTTGTAAGGATCAGCACAATTTATGTGAGAAAGTCCTTGAATAGCAAGACCTCAGATTGTGAGGAGGTGATGTCAGAGCCCTGCTGATACTGCAGAGTTAAGTCCCTCTCTAGAGGTTCACATCTCAGGCTTTGTGATGCCGGCCTGCACTCACGCGAGCCGCCGCAGTCACAGGCCGGTGTGCACCTCTTCTGTCTTATGCGCCTGTCGTTGTTTAGCTCCCCTGTTCGTGCCATAAGGGCAGATCTTTTTGTGCAGTGGCAAGTGAACAGCGTGGACCAACGTTGCCTTGACTTCTTATTGTTGTTGCCCTGGCCCTGGGATAGTGTGTGATGGGGGTGGGGGGCAGGCCAGGGTGGTGACAATAGCACTTTTGAGCAATCACACCAGAAACTTTGATTTTGAGTTTGTTTGAACAGACGCAGTTAAAATAAATTATTTTGATGATGCATATTTGACTTAAAAATGCAGAATAAAATAGAGTTGTTTTGATGACAGGAAGCTGCACTGGGATCAAAAAGTACACACTGGATTTAGTTGCAGTCTCTTTGCTTATATCTGTGTTGATCATGTTTTTAGCTGTGCAACACTTTAAAATTGGAATCAGGCTGTAAATTGTGTTCAGGTTTCCAGACCCCTACAGAACAGTCTGTTTTGTTCTTTCTGATCTGGTCTGGTAACACACTGTGCCCTTGTAGGGGGAGAGATGCATGTAAAAGGCTAAATTCATTTTTTGTCAACAAACAGACCTTTTTTGCCTTGGTAATTTTTTTCCTGAATATGATGTTTTTCTGGCTTGGGCTCTACATTTAAATCAGGAGAGACTTCCAGAGTTGGTGGTGATTCTGATTTTCATTTTTTCGTGGAGCTGATTCTGTTGAGAATCTCTGGCAGCGCTGGAAACGGAAAGGCAGAGCACTGTGATTCAGAGAGAGAGAGTCTCCGGAAGGCTGAAAGGTGAACGTCTGTTTCATCAACTAGGAAAAGAGTCCAACCCAAGACAGACAACCAGCAGGGCTTGAGCTCTTATCTGCCGTCATCAGCTTGCAGGAGCTTGCCGTCTCTCCCGCTGCACCCCTGTTCCTTCACTCTTGGTGTCAGAGCTGGGCTTTTTCATCCCTTGAACTGTTCTGCCGCTTCTTGCGAGTCATGCCTGTTTCTGCTGTCTCATTACACACACACACACACACACACACTCGCCAGTCTCTTGTGATTGACAGCAGGGCCACGCCATCCCTGCAGGGGTTCCTGTGGGAATATTTGGCTCCCGTCTGATAGATTGGTTAACTGCAGCCTCTGCAGTGGTTTCACAGCTGTCAGAGAAGAGAGTGCTGCTTTAAAATGTTTAGGAAGTGCTTTAAAGTAAACATGGCAGTGCTGCGGAAGGTTTACATTTCAGGAAAGATCTGATATCTTAGTGCATATTGACAAAAGGTGTAAGAGACTAGAACATGCCTGGTGACAGGCTGCTAAGAAGTAGGAAACGGTGGGTAAAGAATAAATAGACCTTTATATGAAAGACATACAATGTTTTTTCTTAATTCTACTCTTTAAATGATAGGCAAAGTTAAAAACAAAATGAAGAACGTAAATCAGTCTGACTGTTGCTGACTTTTACGTCTTTGTCTCCAGCATTCTCTTTAGTGAATGAGCAGTTAGCCTATCTGTTCCATCGTCCTATTAACGCAAAACCTTTTAGTAAAAGCACAAAGTAGCATGCTTCTCCCCAGAGACTATTGATTGTCCTCTGAGCCATGAGCTACAGAGAGAGAAGATTAATCAGCAAATGTAATAAGTCTCCATTTGATGCAGCCTAGTCAACTTAGGCACATGCTTGACAAAGTGCTGTCTGTGTGGCTCCCTGCTGAGGGATATTAGTGGTTAGACAGTTCTTAGCATCCTGCAGGGCCATCGTCATCATTCATGCTGTCTGCTGTGCTGTACCCACCACTGTGCTGTCTGCTGTGCCACGCTCTCCGCTGTGCTGTTTGCTGGGCTGTCTGCTGTGTTCTACTGTCCACTGTGCTGTCTGCGGTGCCATGCTGTCTGCTGTGCTGTCATCTGTGCCATGCTGTCTGCTGTGCTGTACCCAGCACTGTGCTGTCTGCTGTGCCGCGCTCTCCACTGCGCTGTTTGCTGGGCTGTCTGCTGTATTCTACTGTCCACTGTGCTGTCTGCTGTGCCATGCTGCCTGTTGTGCCATGCTGCCTGTTGTGCCATGCTGCCTGCTGTGCTGTCATCTGTGCCATGCTGTCTGCCGTGCTGTCTGCTGTGCTGTCTTCTGTGCCATGCTGTCTGCTGTGCTGTCATCTGTGCCATGCTGTCTGCTGTGCTGACTGCTGTACTCTACTCTTCACTCCTCTGCGCTGTCTGTTGTACTGTCTGCCGTGACATCTACTGCACAATGCTGTCTGGTGTGCTGCCTGCTGTGCCACGCTGTCTGCTGTGCCACACTGTCTGCTGTGCTGCCTGTTGTACATGCTGTCTGCTTCTCTCTCTGCTGTGCCGTGCTGTCCTCTGTGCTGCCTACTGTGCTGTCCTGTGTGGCGTCTGACCCGCTGTACCAGGCAACAGCTGCCTCCTGTTATGTTGCGGTTGTCATGCAGACACATCAGTGGTAGAGGATAGGGGGGGTGGGGTGTTGGGCTTTTCTTATTCCCTCTCTCTGGATGAACAGCAAATGTTTCTCCCAGACAGTCCAGATGCCTGTGACAGTTCCTGCTACAGTGATATAATGTGACCTTGGACCCTACGATCCCTCCTCCAGCTATATTAGAAAGGAGGCGTATTTTCTTGTCTCTTCTGATAATACCCACTGCCTGCTGCGCTCTATGTGTGTTAGATTGAATTCCCTGCCTCGTGATTGTTCTGCTGTATTAAAATCCCACAGTTACACCATTGTCACTGTTCTCTGCTGCCACCTTCTTCTGCTGCCATGTATTTTCAGAGGAGCACCTACTGATTTATTGGATGTTTTTTTTTTTCTCACTACCTATGCAATTACCTAAAATGTCCCACATCACCATAGTCCCAGCTGTGTAAGATCTGGTGGCACTGTGAAATGCATCATAGTGTCTCACAGTAAATCCATAGTGCTGTGTCTGTGTCCACTTCGTTTTGCCGAGCGCGCCTTACTTACAGTTGGGTATTTTTGTGGCTGGTTCAGTGATGGGACACTGCGGCCCAGATCAGCTCATGCAGGGCCTCTGGCCCTTCTGTGGGAGGGGCTACAGTTTGGCCCCAACCATCCATTGCATTATTCAGGAGTCTTTGGTCCCAATGGAAATAAGATGTAATCCACCAATGGAGGATGTTTGCGGTACACGAGGCCTCTTGAGAGGGTGACAGATACTTTTGTTGTCTCATCCTTGAGGAAAATTAGCAGGGATGTGTGAGGACCAGGCCCCTGGGAGCAGTCCCTGCTGATTCCTCAAGAGGGTCCACGCTTCTCTGAGACACACTGCTAGCCGTCCACTTCAGTGTGTCCTGTCACTTTTTGGAATTTAATTGGAGCTAAGCAGTAATACACAGCCAGTTAAGTGCCACTTTTCCGATGGCTGCTTTAGCCAAGAGCAAATGATAATGTCTGTTCAACATTTAAGAACCTAATCTGCCATTGGTCGCGGTGGCTGTTTCCATTCCTTTGTCTATTTCTTTGTGTGTCTTTCAAATCTGTCATCAGTTCATTTTTAGCCTGTCCTAATGCTTGCTTAGCCATGCTGTTCATAACCCACAGCCGGCAGAGGACCTCCTGCTTCACAGTCATGATTGAGCTTCAACGATTTCCTGTCCTCGTTCACAGATATTGTTTATTTTGCAATGTCTTGGAACGCTGACTTATGCAAAGCCTATTTGTTAGGCCGTTTAACAGTTAACCAGAGATGTAAAGCGACAGTTGATTGTTAACCTGAGAGAATGAATGCAGATTGATCTGCAGTACATACAGGGGTCTGTAGTTGGTTGTGGTTTATTTGGCTTGCCTGCACAGTGGTAGTTATGCTGACTTAAGGTGCACATGTCCTTAATGTTCTGCTGTTTAGTCCGGTTGGATCCTCTGTCTGGCTCTGTTGTGTCTTCCCTCACTTTCTATTTTTTAAAGGACTAGGATGTTTGTTGTTCCTGTGTGTTAGTATGTGCTGTCCAGTAGCCACAGCTGAATCGTCTTAGCGCTTTTCAAATCTCATGTACATTCTTCTGATCTCTGTTAAAATGATGTTTGCTCCTGTTCCTCCATGCCTGTGCTGCAACTGTTGCATGTCAGGTTTTTTTTTTTTTCTTTAACCAGTTATCTCGTTTTTAAATTATGTTTCAGCTGATGTTCTGGTCCACACTAATATAATTTTTCTTTTCATACATTTTATTTTCATATGCACAATGTAATGTGTCTACTTCTGATAGGGTGAGGATTGGTCATTTATATATGCAGAGTTTCATCCAGGAGGTGTAATCCATGTGGTGGTGTTGCAGGGTGATTTGTAGAAATCAGGAGGGGAGGGGCTGTGCGGACAGCTGAGCTCTCCATTGGGTTACCCATGCGTCCCAGGGGAATGTCCTATTTAAAGCAGGGAGTGACCCCTGTGCCACATGGTTCGGTCTGTCTGACATGAGGGGGAACGGCACATGCAGAGAGCAGCCGTTGCCAGGCCTTCGGGGCAGCAATCTGAGCGGATGTTTGTAACAGACATTGGCCTACTGCCTCCCTGGATCTCAGCAGTGACTGGAGCCCAGCAGTCTGTAGTGCTTCTGTGGTACCGATTGTTGCTCTCTGGGTTCATTGGTGGGTTTGATTTTGGTTTTTCCTCGGTCCAGAAGTGAAGCCCACAGCCTCGCCGTGTGTCGGGCAGCAGCTCCCTTCCCCAGGTTTCACTCACTTTCTCCCTGCAATTACCACAGGACTCTGAATCCCTGGACAGCTGCGTACAGAGTGCCCTGTCTGCCCTGTACCCACCGTTTGATGCCACCGCGCCCACCGTACTCGGCCAGGTCTTCGACGTAGTGGAAGGCACCTACCGTGGGGACGGCCTGCGCTACCTGATCGACTTCCTGGTCCCGGCCAAGCGCATCCTTCAGGGCATCCAGCAAGATGCCTGCGTAAGTAGCACGTGTGTACGGTCTAAAGAGCACGAAAAACAGGAAAAACAATGATGGGAGAATGGACTGTGGATGGTTCCGCTGGTTATTTGAGAAGGTGACCCCCAGACGGGGGCCGTCTGAGGCCCAGTCCTCGATGCCTGTCGTCCGTGTCGGTTCCTGTGACGCTTGCCTGCAGCTATTTCTGTTGCCCACCTGACCCTGGCAGGATTTTTTTTCAGCAGTCGTGATGGCTGAAATATTGGCCGACATACATCTCACAGCCTTGCTGAGGTACCCTAAACTCAGGCAGATTCTGGAGTAGTGCCTGAACCATTAAACCATTTCAACTTTTAAATAGCTCTTGTGTAAAGGAAGAAAAATAAGCTCTGATGGTCAGCCTCTTGCACCAGGTTTTACAGCTCAAATGGCCTTCCGCTGTACCATAATCTTCTGCATGGTCAGACAGCCTTTTAATAGGACTTTCTGATATTGTGTTCTGTGATTGGTCAAACACTGTATCATCACACAATAGGGGAATGATTATTGATCAGCAATTAGTAATTGGCAATATTTGGAGTATTTGGCAACAAATTATAATGATACATAGTGTTGTTTTTGTATTGTTAATTATGCATGGAGACTTTTTGGTTGGAGTAAGTTCAGGGAATGTGTTAGCAGGCTACTTCTAAATTAAATTCTTTATAATGTACCTCTATATATAGCTGATATTAGTTTTAACAACATTGCATTTATGTTTGTTTGTGTTTTTGGTTGCTATGAGTTCCTTGCTGCAGTTAGTGTCCCTTTAAGTATGACCAGGGTCCTGATTGTAATGGAAAATATCACTTTAGCTTGGTGTTAGCTTGCTTTTGCTTTGATGGTGACAAAAAATACTCTAGAGACAAGAATGTGGACATTATTTTTAAGAAGCACTGTGCAGAACATCTCATAAGAACTTGAAGGTTGCGATTCCCTGATAATTTCAATAAATGACAGATGGGGCTGGATCCATTAAGATTGTAGGTCTTTGCTAAGAATCATAGCCATATGTCATGCTTTATGATACAGGCCTGATACTCTTTGAAATTTCAGCTGCTTTGGGGCTTGCCGCTGCACTCATCGTAGCAGATCATTGCAGGCAGATAGATCCTACAGGGACCATCTCTGGAATACAGCGGGGTGTTCTGTATGGGGTGTTTGAGAAGAGGCATCTGCCCTGGCCAGCTCCACGGTGGATCATTCCAGGCATCCCCCTGCATTATCAGTGTCGACGTAAACCTTGAAGCTCCTACAAATTGCTAATGCTGTAACGCCACTGAAGCAGGCTATTGCTGGCACGTGTCTGCTGGAAAAAGGGCCAAATCCGGATGGGATTGTACCACTACACAGGCTCATCTGGAAACTTCTGGAGCTCTGTGATCTTAATCTGGTTATTTAAAGTAACCTCCGTACTGGATAAGGTCCCAGAAGTGTGTCCGGCCTGCTCCTTTTTCGTGTTTGGTTAAATGCTTAACTCCAGTAGATTCACAGAGCTGTAAATGGTTGACGGCTGTTCCCCAGCCAGTCATGCCTCTCGCAGAGTCTCCTCCCTGTGGCGGTTAGTCATCTTGTTTTGCAGGAACACCTCATTCACTAAGGAAGTCTGTGTTGCTTTATGGATGAAAAGGGGGACTTTACATTTAAATCAAGGCTCAGCATACTGGCTTGTTGCAGCAGTGCTGGTAGTAGGGGGAGTTATGTTGAATGCTGTATTAAATAACATACCCACTTCATGAAGGACTTCATCCATGTTGGCGAGGATTCCCCAGTAACCCTTGTCTCCTTTCGGCTTCTCCCCACAGTCTGCGTTCAGTGGCCTTCTCTTCCGCCATGAGGGTTGGCCTCTGTGTGTCCACGAGAAGCTCATAATCCAGCTCTCCTCCCTGGACCGGCGAGCGCTGCGGCCCGGGGACTTCTACTTGCAGGTTGCACCGTGCTCAGGAAGTCCCCCGCGCATCGTGCTGAGGGCCTTGGCTGGTGACGGACGGCACGTGGAGCAGTTGGAGGTGCCTGAAGTGAGCTACACCTCCATTTTCACCATGGCTTGGCTGGATTCGGTCAACCGGGAGCGAGTGCCCGGACCTCTGGAGCACTGCCTGCTGGCTGCCGATGGCCACGTCTTCCGAGTGCCCTGGGAGGATGTGGTGCAGCCTGAATTCGTCTACAGGCCCCCCATAATTGGGGGAGAAGGGCTGGACAGTCAGTCCATGAGGATGAATGGGGAGGGTTCAGACATAGCTCCACAGGAAGTGGATACTCTGAGTCCGGAGGCTGCGCAGGCCCCAACCCTCAGCCAGTCTACTGGAGATGTGGGCAGCAGATCAAATGGGCTGGATAACCTAGTATTTGACTTGGACAGTGAACAGTTCTCATTGGAAAACAATGACAAACTACAGGAGGATGACAACAAAAAAGTACTGGAACAAAATGGCGAAGTACTTGAGGAGACGGTTATGCAGGACCCTAAAGACACGATGTTGGAGGACTCGGACCAAGAGGGGGAATATGTGGAACTGGCTGATCTTCCTCTGCCTTGTTTCATCCCCCAGAAGGGATCATTGACTCAGTCTATAAGTCTTTGTTACAAAAACCTGAACACGCCGAGGACTAGTTCGCATGGCCAGACCACCTCTGCTGAAGGGTTCCTGGACAGTGGCCGTTACTGCCAGGCTGCGGTCTGTGCTAAACTCATAGAGGAGAACCTGAGCGATGTACCTCCCCGGCTGCCGCTTGGCCCTGCAAGCAAGCCACCAGGAGGTACGCATGTGGAGGACACTGCCGTCGTGTGTGAAAGCGAGGTGTCTGTTTGCTGTCCTTCTGCTGAAAGCGATGGCTCGCAGTCGGGATGCATTGACGTGGCTGACGGAGATAGCGTACCAAACTCAGAAGTAAACTTGGGGTCTTCAGACAAGGTGGGATTTCCAGACAAGGTGGAGGGAGGTGCTGGTAGCCATAGCTTGAGTGGGATTAGTGAGGCAGGTGATGTGAGCCCCAGTCTCGATCAGGAAGATGACACCAGGTGTAATGGTGAGGAGATATGTCTGGTTCCTGTTCCGTTAGCTGTAGACTCTGACTCGGGGGAGAGATCCCAGAAAGAGTGTGGAGCCTCTGGTCCTGGTCTTCAACCAGATGCTCTGGGGAACTCTGGCACAGGATCACCCCCAGTCGTGCTCTGCATGGAGGGCATTGGGGGTGTAGAAGAATGCCCGGGACTAGAGATTGAGGGGGAGATGCTGAAGAGCGCAGCACAGGTGTTAGCCCCCAGCGCGAAAACAGAAACAGAAACTCCAGTGGAGCTCACTAGTGTTGAGGAAGCAGCAGAGAGTGAGCAGACTGAGAAAGAGGATAAAGAAAAGGAGGAAGGGAAAGAAGCACACGGAGAGGTAGACAAGCAGAGCGCAGGGGCTGTAGAGATGGGCAGAGGAGAGGTGGGGGAGGACAAGGTTGCTGAGAGTGTGGCAGAGAATGGACATACCTCCTCCAGCAGCAGCACTCCCAGCGTGGAGGTGGGGGCAGAGCACAACAACTCCCCCCTCCTGGAGAAGCCCTGTGGCTTACTCACAAACGGCCCCGAGGAGCGGGGGCTGGAGGATGAGGCTGCGGGGCGGGAGCCAGAACAAAGCCCTGAGAGTGACGGCCCCCTCCACCTCAAGGCAGTGCCCTTGGACTCTCAGCCGCAAGGTACACAGTCATTCACACTGATTACAGGCCCCCCGCTTCTGTCCCTCACCCATCTCTAACTATCAGCCTCACCTCTTCCCACATCCTTTCCAAGCACTTCTCATTCCATGCCAGTAAGTCCGACATGCCTGTATTTATCAATGCTGTCTTCCTAAAGATGTCGTCTTGTCATGCATTTCTCCCACACCTTCTCCTGCCTCATCCCCACCTTCTTCTTCATAGTCTGGTCTCCACTGTCCCATAATCCCTTGACCTCTTTTTCTAATTATAGCTTTTTATTTTAAGCCAGTTCGTTAATCAGTATTAATCATCTATTTTCCAACCGTTTATCCTGGTCACGGTTAATCAGTTAAGTAATTTTATCTAACAAGGTTCAGTTGAATGTGGTGTACACTTGTGCTTGTTTCTTATTAACCTTGGAGTTTAACTGGTGTGATACCTCCAAGTACCTCCAAGAATTTCTGTGTATTTTGTTAATTTAGCATGATCTCTTTCTAGTCTGCTTTGTTCAGATGGCATATTACCTGATGATAGGTTTAAGGAAACACCTTAACTTAATTCGTAGTAGGAAAATCATGCCTCACCAAGAGCAGTCTTCCTACCTAACCTTGAATAATTCTTTGTTTTGTTATCATGTTGATGGGCTCTAAGGAATTACATTTATGTTATTTTCTTTCTGCTCTGGGGAATCATAGCCATTAATATTGCCTTTCCATTTGATGTATTCACCCTCTGATTGCTGGGTTTACTCCAGTGAGTTCCCAGAGCCCAGGCCATCATTTAATCGACTCTGACGGTACCTCTGGGGGGCTGGGGGTGCAGCATTGCCGTGGGCCCCGTTTCCTGCTCCTGTTTGTCAGGAGCATTGTGCTGGTGTCTCCTATGGCCCACGTTGGTCACCCTCGCGGGGATTTCTGTCTGCAGATATGCTTCTTGTCTGGGTGATGCATCTGCTCTTGGATGGTTGTGTCATAAGGAGTATTTTGTAATGTGAATATTGTTTATGGAAAGGATTGGTTTACTGGTCGTTATGTAATTGGTTGCAAGGTAACTGTCCTGCTCACTGCACTGATTTGCTTACTGCTGTCCCAGTAACAGATTGAGCTGTGTTATAAAAGTCAGCTTTGACCTAGGAAACGCATTCACGCAGTTGAGTAATCCATATTCTTCATTTCCAATGAAATGAGGCATTTGAAGTTTGCTTGCTGGACAGATTGTTTTGCGAAGCCCTCGATTGGGTTTTTGTGAAGTCTTTTTTAATCAAATGCCCTTTGAAAGGTTTTAGTCTTCCTCAAAGGTTTTATTTTCAAAGGGACAGAATTGTTTCAAAATTGGATGTGACTATACAGGCTGTACTGCTGTACAGTCATTTTTCTTTTTTTCAGTTTAATAGTAATACAGTGTGGCAGGTCTGATGTATTTTCCAGATGTTGCCTTGTCAGATCTTTGGAGAGGAGCAGCGTGTATCTGAAGTCACGTGACCTAGTGTGCTTCTGTGTGTGTCAGTGGGAGTTCTTGCTATCAGAAACTAGCAGGCCAGTAGGGTTTGGACATGCTGGTAGGGAGGAAGGCTTTCAGCCAGAGTTGGAGGTAATGGAGGTCGCAGTCCAGGCAGGTGGGAAACTGGGTCACCAAGAAGTCAATGTTTGTAGTATCTGACTGGGCGTAAAACAGCAGCATGGGTTTGTTGACGCCAGTGCTGGGCACCAGGCAGCAAAGGGAAACCTGTAACAGGTGACCGGGCATCCAGACCCTAGTGCCTTATCTGCAGGGACTAATAATCCAGATAGTTCCATTAAAACCGTGCTGCTGCTGTTCCTGCATTCGCAGCTATCTCATTGCTCCTCCAGCCTTTGAGTTGTGAATTTACAATGAAAAAGTAGCGTTTGGAGTTTTAAAAGCCGCTGTTTGTTTTTATATAGTCACATTTCCTTCTTCGGTGTGCTGCATTCACTTCCCCGTGACGTGAGGTTGACTAGAACGGTGCTTTGTGCTGCCGGATCCCTTTCGGCACCAGCCAAAACAGGCTGTGAAAACGTGGGCCATTCTTCTAAAACCCTACGATCCCTCTTCACTGTGTTTCCAGGGTTAAACAAGGAAGCACAAGGAACCTTAAGAACATCTTTAATGTTTTCTTACACATTTTTAACATCAGTCAGCAGCTTGGTTGCGGTTGCCAGTCTGGTGTTTCATTTTTGTGGTATATTTATTCGATTAATTTTAATCACCCAGAAATAGGGTTATGCATTGTTTGTGTATATGTTTGTGTGCGTGGTTTTAATGAGTGCGTCTTCACAGACATCTGTGAAGCACTTGTTCTGTTTGTGCGTGTGCCTGTATGAGATCTGCACCCATTCACATATCGCACTGCCCTAGGGCCCAGTCGGGGGGAGCAGCAGAGCCCAGAGCCCACCCACACACCCCCCTCTGCCGCGGAGCCCGCAGCCCAGACCGCCACGCAGGGAGGGGTGGTTTCGATGAAGCAGCAGGACACTCCCTGCCTCCCGCCGGCCTCCTGGAAGACACACCCCATCCTCGCCGAAGCCCACAAAGTCAACACAGATGTCCTGGGCTCTGGAGTGCTCTGTCTCACTGGTGAGTTTATGTGTGCAGGATCCCAATTAACATGCAGCGCATCACAACCTAAACATGTAAATAATTAGTCATTTTGGGTGAAGGGGTCTACATCTGTATTTTTTTTTTTTTGTATCTGAAAGTTGGACCACTTGGCTAAATTGTAAACACTGGGATACAGTTGGGAGCATGAATGTGCTTCTGTTGTTCTGCTAACTTTGTGTTACCAGCTAAAGAATGGTGTCATTGAATTTATTTTAAATGTTGTTTCACATTTATATCGCTGCTTTGTTCAGCTCTGACCCCCCCCCCCCTCCTGTTTAATAAGCAATTAATTAGCAATCCTGTTTTTTATATATTGCCACAGGGACAAAAGATAAATGTGGGCGTGCCCTTGTCACTGTGACAACCAGGAGCACCGTTTGGTTGAACCCAGACTGCAACAGCGGCGAGCTGGTGCGGATCCTGCAGTACTTCTATGCCACCCTAAGGTAGCCGCCGGGCCTGCGCCTCGTCACCTTGTCCCTGAGCGTGCTTTTGCCCGCATCATCACCTGTCTCCAACCCCCCCTCCCCCACGTGTCTCCCCGCATCCTGCAGGAAGGAGGCACGCTCGCAGGGCCTGACCGTGCTGGTGGATGCCCGGCGCTGCTCTCCCGTCGCAGCCCTTTTCAAGGCGTTTTCCATCTTGCAGGTGAGTCTGCTTCCCACGGTTCGGTCTGTTCAGCTCTGCCGCTCTGCTCTATTCATGTTGTTTTGCACCCAGTGCTTTAGTGTGGTCGTGTGTCTTGTTCTGTGCCTTTAACAGTAACCACTCGCTTCAGGGTATAACAGCATTCCCCCTGGGTTTTTGACTCCACCCCTTAGAGCACCTGCCGGCAGTTGAAGCTGATGTGAAATTAGTTGATACAGTGAAAAGGGTGTGTTGGTGTAAAGACCTGACTTTTTAACGGGTGGGTCATTTATATGGGACCTCATTTCAAATTTTGCATTGTCTTAATTAGATTTGGACCAGATCCCTGAGGGGTTGTGCATTATATTTGAATATCTAATAGTATAATGGCAATTACCCAAAAATATTAAATATTCAGGGGCTCACAAGATGTGTCACTTTGTCACGATGACAAAAGCTGACTGGAATAAACAAGATCAATTTAACAGAGACGCTGAATGGATTTATGGATTTATTCCCCACACAGTGTGCTCTGTATGAATAGAACGTGACCTCTGGTCATGGCTAGTGTTTGGTAAACAATGGTGTAATATTTGATTAGCTGGCAATAGCGGTCGCTAACTCGGGGCCCCGACGAATGTTCCCTGCCTGTAGACAGAGGCCGACCTCATTATTTCTGTGTTTATTCTGCTGCCAGCGTAACTCAGAGATTGATCCAAACCCTTGGCTCAGGCTGCGGGGCTGTGGAAACCAGCCTTGTATCACAAATTAAACGCCGAGACATTTTAAAAGTGGAGCGCTTTCTGCAACTGGTGGGGACACTGATCCGGATGCTTTTAAATGCCGTGCTTGCTTTTCCATTTTTATTTTATGACTCCGGCATAATGCCGAATCCTTTCTTCAGGGACTTGGTTCTGTTCAGAGTTTCTTTTTCTAAAGTGGATATTCCGAATCCTTTGTAGTTTGATCCAGCCACGGTCATTGGTTTTGTTCTCAGGCAGGTGTTGAGAAGCCTAGGCATGACACACACACACAGGGTTAAGCGATGCAGAGTGTTGACAGATAAGCATCGCTTCCTCCATGGGGGGGGGTGCGTACTGTTTGTCAAAGGACACCTTGGCTCTGTGTTTCCAGCCCAAGAAAGACACATCTGACCTCTACTCCATTCCGGGTCGCCACTAACAAAGACAGAGGAGGCGTCCTGAGCTCTGCTTTCGGCAAGGGTTGGCCCTGGCTGGTCCACTGTAGGGACAATAAACCAAGATACTGTAGCATCTTCTTTTTAGACCACAGTTTACCACTGACGCTGTAGTCTTCTGCTGGCTTCATTTATCATTCACTGATGATACCGTGACCTTCTGAGCCTTGTATGTAATGGGAATAGTTCTAGTCCTTTAAAGGTCATTTTTATTTTAATTTTGCTTCTGTCAGGTGTATTGGGTTAGGATTAGCCGAGTCAGTCCATGGTCGGGTTGCAGCACAAACCCGGTCGGCCGTCCATCACCATACACCACTTCAAAAGGAGTCCTTCATACAGAATCCTGCTCTCTGATAGGCTGTGGTTCTGTGTTTTTGGCATATTGGTGTTGCGTTCAGAGAGCCCCACGTAATGGGGTAAAACTGAAGGGACACAGACTGACTCCTAAATCAGCTTGTGATGTAATGGTATTGTGATTTTTTTTGACCACTGAAACGGGTAACACAATTTTCTTGAAGTGGTCAACTTCACATAGTATAACAATAGTGGGTATTGTTTATTATGTCAGCTTATTGGATTTGTAGTAAAATTTTGGGCCGTAGTTTTGCCAGACACTGAGATACTGAAAGGACATCTCGTCTCTGTGATGTCTGGCCTTCTAGGAGCCATGTCTCGTTGTGGCTGCAATTTCTTCGGGGGGGGGGTGGCGGTGGTGGTGGAGGGGTTGCCGTGTAATTCCCCTGGGCTAGCTTCGTATGAGACTCATTAGTACATTGTACTCTTACTCTCAGTCAGCAAACTTCTCTACAAAGCCAGTGTGATTTGTTTCTCAGTGCAGTCGACTTCCCATATTAAGAGCCCTGTCTGTGTGTTTTCGACATTTTAACGTTGTTACCATGTTATGGAAAGGTCAGCCACTCTCAAACCAGGTGCACTGCATCGCACTCCTGCTAAAGCAGGGCATAATGAATGATAGAAGTCATTTAAAAACATACATATTACTGCTTCCCCACCATCCTTTGCATATTTCTTTACAGTTTTCTTTCGGTGACACCTATGCCAGGATGACAGCACTCATCTCATTTGTAAATGTCAGAGAGGGTAATATGGAAGTAATGAGGTTTTCCTGCCTGTAGGATACACACAGAGTCCAAATATGTGTCATAAATTAAAGAAGCGGAAGGACGAGGAGACCTTAGAACTGCCAGGGTCGCTGAATAGGGGAAAGGTCCTTTCACATGACATTTAGAGTCTGAGAATCGTGGGGCTGAAGCAGAAGCCTCCCGCACAGCACATGGTGAGCAGAGGGTCACCTGAAGAAGGGGGGGGTTTCAGCAACTTTTCATTTCCTCTCCCTGACAGGAGGGGGCTCCCGGCTGCATTAGCACAGTGTTGCTGCTGTCTGATAGAGAGCTGAGATCATGGCCTGAGAGACCCCCCACCATACAGGTAATACCCTGTGACTTTCAGGACCCTCTCCCAGCCCGCTCCCTAATGCGCGCCAGCTTGCTTCAGAATATCGCCTCGCCCTTAGGGCAGGCATGATAAGGGATCCAGCATGCCCTGAATTCCTCATTGTTTGTTAGCTCATTTAGGAAGATAGAGGGCTATTTTAAACCTGGAGTGGGCCCCATTAATCTCACTGTAAGCTTCCAAGAACACACTCAGCTCCCTTGATCTGTGGACAGTACTGTCATGTCAGCCGCAGGGAGAACTCCTCTGTAGTACAAACATGTTTTTGTGCCATATGTAGCCCGAATTCTGAGCTTGAGAGTTGGAATTAGACCAGGCAGAGAGGTGCTGTGAGATCTCCGGCACTCACACCATAACTCTTGGTGTTGTCCCTCGCAGTTTGAGGTCCTTACCTCCCTCAAGGCCCTCCACAAGCACGTGGACAGCACCCAGCTTCCCGCTGCCTTTGATGGAACCTTTCCCTACTGCCACAGAACCTGGATCTCTTTTCGGATGGTGAGTGAACTCTCTGAGCATCTTCATTTATCACCATCATGGTGGTTTCACAATTGATCCCTGTATCCCTCCAGAGTGATTCTGCTGTAAAGAACGCTGCGGGATGTGGGTTTTAGTCTTATTTATGACATGATAGTGAACATGTATTATGTAAAGTATACATTTGTTCACTTGAATTGTCAGTTGAATAAACTGTGTGAACACTTGTATGTATAACAGAGAGAATATTTTTAGTGGGTTTGTTTATTAGTATGGTGTCATGTGAGTGGTGTGGCATCAACTGATTGGTGTAGAAGTGACATAAGACTGGTGTGATGACATAATCGTTACGGCTTTGTCATGGCATTCTGTGTGTCTCCCCCCAGAGAGTGGAGCAGTTGACCAGCAGCTGCCAGGACGCTACTGTCCTTCTTAAGAAGGCTATCGCCACCTTGGAGGCAACAACCCTGCCATCCTGCACTGAGGTAACCAAACCATGCCCATTCTGTGGCACTGCCAGGCTGACAATCCATTGTATAGCTGAAGTTGCACGTGGCTGTTTTATATTACTCTAACATACATGCTTATGTTAAGAACTTGTAAAGTGAACTGGCACTAAGGCAGGAAACTTATAGAAAATTGGTTCCTGTGGTGCTTTTGATAAAGTTTCCACAAAATTTGACTAATGATACATCTTTAGGAAGTATGTGATTTAATTCCTCACTGTTGTTGGGAAGAATGGAAAGATCTTATAATGAATGTCAAATTGTTTTGGAGAAATTATCCAAAGTGGGTGGATATGCTTTGTATGAAATCTTACCCAGAATGCTCTCAAAGGTGGAAGTGTGTAAAGATTAGATTTAAATAAATTGAGCGATTTGGCTTCAGTTCGGTCGTGGTTTATGCTTTTAATTTTATGGGTCTTATATTGATTCGTTTGACCTTTCGGTGTCCATCTGTGTGACTGAGTAGCACACGCTGTTCCCCAGGGAGTGGAGGAGTGTTTTAGTTAAGAAAAAGACAGAAATGGGGGAGGGAGCGCTCTGAAGCAGGAGAGACATCTGTCAACAGCCATCTTTGTAATTACAGTATTTTTGTATGTGGATGGTGCTTTTCAAAGCCTCCCTGTTGGTCAGATTTGTGTGTTCTTCCTGGAAGGTGTGTGACAGCTGGGTCCTAAAGGAGGTAATGCACTGAACATGAAATCTGGGGCCCTTCAAGACCCACTTTGGGATTAAGGATTAGGGGGTCTGTTGCCCTGAGGCTGTCAGTCAACAGGCAGGGAATTTGTGCACACACACTTTGCACACATGCGCACATTCACACACAAAAAGGTGGCATGAGTACGTATTTAGCACTATCTCACGACAGTCCCACCACACTCTACACACATGCATGCACCATTGACAGCCATGCACATGCATTTAGCTCAATCTAAATACAGTCCCACCACACTCTACACACATGCATGCACCATTGAGAGACATGCACATGCATTTAGCTCAATCTAAATACAGTCCCACCACACTCTACACACATGCATGTGCGTGCCTGCATGCTTGCTTTTCATCATACATGCACGACTTGCTGCTCTGAACCTGTCAGACAATGCTGTGTAGCAGTCTAGTTAGTCTCGTATTCCTTTAAGATATTTGACGTTGTGCTGACAGCGAAAGGTGATCTAAGTGTGTAATTATCGTAATTACAGTGTAGTTAGAAAGGCTGCCATCGCCCACTTGCATGTTTTTTTTTCCTTTTTTTTTTCCTTTCCATTGTTAGGTGTGTTCTGGATATGTCAAAATTTCACAAATACCTTTAAATAGCTTTGGGGGGTTGGGGGGTCACAAATTGGAATAATCTTGTTAGTTTTCCAGATGTCATGCGATTGTCCCAGGATACCATGCTTGTGACAAATGCATAACAGGATTTTTTTTTCCCTGATACCTCCATCGTGAATCTCAGTTCGGCCAGATGTTCCGGTTCAGCAAATTCATGGGTCACGGAGTGGAATTAACCTTTGGTTAGAAGTCTTTGCCACAGGTGGTGCGTCTGTGTGTGAGAAAGCTGGCTTCCTTCACAGCAAGACTTTGAGTTGTGTGTTATGGGATGCTCTGAATTTATAACGCATATAAGGAAGCAGCTGTACCCTGTTAACTAAGCTTAAAACCAGGCATTCGACCTTTGCTCTTCAATTTAGGAACACAGTACAAATCATGGATTCACAGACACCCAAAACAGGTTAAGTAGGTCTCTCTCCAGATTCTAATTACTTCAATAAAACAATTAGTAGTTGCGACAATTACTGAGTGAGGACTGGGGTGGGGACACGTGCGGTTGAGAAGAACACCCAGTATGTACCCAGGCATTGCTGCAGTCTGGAGAGATGACACAGGGTTTGGGAACCTGCCGAAATTCACTGCTGCCTTTTGTTCCGGCCAGGAGGCCCAGGTGCTGCTGTGCGAGTACAAGGACTTGATGCGCAGTGTGCTGGGGGACGCGCGCCTGGCACAGCTGCAGCTGGAAGGGGGTGCGGCTCTGTCCCGTCTCAGGAAGGAGAGCAGCATGGGCCTCACGGAGGACCACAGGTAACCCCTCCCCCTCCACATCCAGGCTTGTAATTGGCTGCTCTGTGGGAAATGAAGCAACACATGATCAGTGACCTACTCCAGGAACTGCTAGCTAAAGTAGTATTTCCATCTCTGAACGAACCCTGATATTTAAGGTGAATAAAATGTACATATTTTACTGGAACAATTCTCAAAATAGATACTTGTAGCAGATATACAGGCAAGTGTCAATCTACAGTTAATGTCGAATAAGTCTGTGTCCACTATGGAATGCGAGTTTGCGTTTTCCCCACTGAAAGCCAATGAGAACATTCTTATCCACAGTGATCTGGATTAGTGCTTTGACCTGCTCTTAATATCTCCAGCTTGTGTGAGAGATATGCTGCTGTTTCCCATTTATGTTCCATGTGCAACAAGTGTCATATCCTGCTTTAAGGAATATGCTGGACCCTGTGCCCAGTTTGCTTTTGGAAGACTGTAATATCAAGTAAAGACAAGCTTCATCTACAAATACTGTATTGCTTTGGGGTTAAAGAACAGTTTGTATTGCAAGCTTCTGCTGTGGAACCTAAAGATTTTCAAGGTGACACCCTCGCAAGGACGGGTGTCTTTGGCTGTAAATGTCATTCCTGCTTTGAAGGCTCATCTCTCGCACTTCTGCCCGTGCTGTTCTCAAAACCCTTTGAATTGTTTCATGAGGTGAAATACGAACCACCATCCGAAGTCCTGGATACTCGTACCAAATTTGGCTCACAAAAACAGCAGCAGGTTGTGCAGGTTTGTTTGTTTTTTCTTTCTAAAAATCCTGGGCTGGAGTTTCCTCCCTACTTATCAGAGTCAGATAGGCAGCCTAATTCTTTCACAGTGAGAACATCTGAGGAAAATGTTTTCTTGGCTCGGCCAGCAGCCCTGGAGTGAACGGGTCCGACGCCAGCCAAGCTCCTGTGTGGCAGGAAAGCCGCAGGCAGGACTTGAGAGGTCAGCACTTTGGATGGTGCTTTGGAGAACCAAAAACCTCCAGATGCAACCAAAGAACCCAGTCCTGTTATGACCCTTGGCGTCAGAGAAAGGCTTTTAATCTCAGTGCTGTTCTTTTGGAATGTTTTCTTATATGCACTGTGATTATTGTGATTACAGTATGTTTGATGGAGAAGCTCCTCATTTATTTATGATACTTTTGGGATTTTTAGACCATAAAGCTCTGAGGTTCCTGGAGTAAGAAGGGCTTTGTGAGCTGTCATTCAACCTACTGACTTTTATCTTTAAAGACTTTTTGAGGCATTTTTCTCATACTTTAAAAAGGTCAAATTTCATGAGTAACAGCATTGTAGTAAAGATGTCGATGCTATATTTATTGTGAAGCTTACATGGTAACCATCCCATCTTGGGATCTTAGTTTGGTGTTTGCTGTGAGTCACTTCCTGGTATTGAAAGGCCTCAGTGTTTGCAAACAGCAAGCATCACTTTCAACGAAGGTCAAAGCCATCCGCTTCCAAGAGAGCAGGCCGGCACATCTGTTGCCTGGTGATTATGGCCCATGTTAAGCGAAACTTTCATCATGCGATGGATTCCTGGGTAACCAGCTCCTCTGCCCCATTAAGAGCTTATCAGTGCTTTTCCTCCTGACGCTGGAATGCTTTTGAAACATCTGGCTTGCTCACGAGTCGTTGATGTTTACACTGGGTGTGGAGAATGAGCAAGCACGTCCCCACTAGGCAGCGGGAGGAAAGTGGCACTGCTTCCACAAAGCTTCCATTCACTGCCAGGGCAAACGTCATGACTCACCCTTCCTAGGTTAAATACACTAATTATTTCATGGCTCTGATGAAACAAGTGAATCATGGTCTCTGCCCATAATTTCTTATTCATTTTAAACTTTCTTAAGGAGTTGAATGGAGTCAGTTTAAACAATGTATCGCTATTTCAGTTTCCTATTTAGACATTTTTGCTGTTTGGCTTAGTACAGATTACACCAGTTAGGAGGAAAAGGCCTTTAGATCTTCCTCTGAGAAATCCTGATTAAACCAGCACTCGGGATGGTGATAAACACTCAGTATTCCTTTTGCAGTTTTGACTTTCTGCGAGCCCTGCTGGTGATAAGGCCCTTTTCGGGGAATGAGCCTCCAGTCAGTCGGGGTTTGTTTGTTCTCCTGGCAGCGGGAGGAAACCTTGACTGCTCCTCTCTCTCTGCCTTCTTGCCCCCAGCCCTCCCACCTTCAACTGTACTTCCCCTCTGCTGGAAAAATGGGGAAAGTATTATCGCCTAGTATAGTTTGTTAAATGCTGGAAAATTCTTTTTTTTTTAAAAGAACAGAAAAGAAAAATCACAGGCTGTAGACAAAAGCCCTGGCTGACAGAACGGTCCGATTGGGGCACAGACATTTGCATAAGAATGGAGCTGAAAACTACCCAGTGGTCAATGGCCCATTGTTCTGCAAGGTTCTGGCCCACTGTTACCCGGGCTGCACAGTGGTGGTATTGGCCATTAACTTTGATTGATTGTTGATTTTATGTCAGGCGATGTTGCTGTGGATTTTTTTTCTCCATGTCCCTTCTTGGGCTTTACATT